TGGGGGCCCCAGCCCCCGGGGAGTCGCCCGCGCCCCATTTCGGGGTGCAGTGTCGGTGGTCTGCTTGCGCTCCAGCCTACGCCCATCCCGGGCCTCTGCTCCTGGGCGCGCGGAGGGCGGCGCGTTGGCAGGGAAGGCACTGGCGAGGGTCTGGACGGCACTTAGAGCCGGACAGAGCTCGTGGTCACTCATGGTGCTGCGCGGCCCACGGGGTGGGGGAGCGGGTGGGGGAGACGTGCCCTTTCCTTCCGCCCCGAGCCCGTCCAGGCCCTGGGTTGACAGTGCCTGGTGGGTGGTGTGCCCAGCGCTCCAGACGTTGAATTGTTAAAGATCAGAAATAGACACTTAAACATGCGAGGAGGTTCCGTTTTCTCTCCTCTCCTGCTTCGAGCTGTTCCTACGGTTCCGGGGACTCCAGAGTCTGGAGCTGACGGTTCACCTCACCCCGAGTTAAACAATTCCTCCCACTGCCTCCCCTTGCAGAATTCATGAATGAGGATACACACGTCGCAGCGTTTCAGGGCTTCTTAATCAGCGCGTCCCCAGAGTATTTACTATGCGCTCTCCCGGGCTGATCAGCAGCCAAGCGCCTGTTAACAAGAGGGGATTCCTCACTGTCCTAGCATAGTGGACCACCACATACCACAGAGTGATGATACGGTCTTCAGGCCTGTGAAACCAGGTCCCCCCAAACTTTTGTTGTCACGCCCAAATCCCTGGCAAAACAAGTCAAAAATTGGCAGGCCTCCCCAAAGTAGACTTAATTTGAGCTTGAAGTGAATTATTTGAAAAAACAAACCGGCCATTCAGGAGCCCTTGAATGGTGGGGTGGTGGACATCAGTGGTGATGGACTCAATACTCTTTAAAGTGTGGAGGATTACGAAGGTGGCAGGGGTGCACCTACCTTCGTCATGAGAGGAGTTACTGTTTTGGACAATAGTTTTAAATGTTCCTAAGTAGTTCTGAATGGTCAAATGAGTACCTTTTGGTAAATTTTGATTTCCCTTTCTACCCTTTAATTTCCATACAGACCAACTCATGGGAGGACGGCCAAGCGGATGCAATTAAGCCTAGAGACCGTTTCCTTAGAGATGTTGATGCTCATCCTTTAGGCATAGCTGAAATCGATAGTCCCGGAGGCTGCTATGTGAGCCCACTATGTGCTGCATAGTTTTGATTCATTCTTAAAAACCTTCAAGGTTGATTGTGTCATTCCCATTCTATAAATGAGGAGACTGAAGTGCAGTAACTTGTGAAAGTGTGTACTGTGTTGTCTCAATACGGAGCGGGGTTCTTTGGTGGGTGTGTACTTTGTGGGTAGCCTTTGTCTTTCCAAGTAGATTGCACTTTAGCCTTAGGACTTTACCTATTTCTTCCTCGCTTCTTCTCTCTTCCCAGTACAAGGCTTCCAAGATGATGTGTTCTCAGTCATCACCTGTCCCCAGCAGGAAAAAGAGTCTCCTTGTCACATTCTCGCCTGTGTGTGGGAGAGAAGCCGAGCTGTTTGGTTGTTGCCTTCTCTGTCAGTTTTTATTGGAATTTGAGATGACAGCAGGAAGGCTGAGGGTTCTAGTACTCATTTTTGTCCTGAGCTGTTGATAGCCCACTAGCCAGAAAGAAGTGAGGCTTCTGAAATCTTAGCATCATGTGGAATGGTCATTCACTGCACAAAATACATGGAAGATTTGTGTTCATTCACTCAACAGGCATTTATTTGCATATAAACCATTCACTCATTCACTTATTCTTGCCAAATACTGGGCATTGTGAAATCATTGGTGAGCAAATGAACAAAGTTCTTGTTCTCAAGGAACTTGTAGTCTTATAGAAAGGCAGACACTAGATGAGTGAACATGCCCCTATATAATTACAAGTTATGATAAGTGCTCGGAAGAGAATGTAATGGGCTTAATAGGGAGACCTGAGCTAGTCCAGGAGACAAAATATTGTGATAAAATGTCAAAAAGTAGGCAAGGCACATTGGCTCATGCTTGTAATCCTAGCACTTTGGGAGGCAGGGCAGGAGGATTGCATGAGCCTGGGAGTTCAGGACCAGCCTGGGCAACACAGGGAGATCTCATCTCTACAAAAAAATGGAAAAATTATCTGAGCATATTGCACATACCTGTAGTCCTATCTACTTGGGAGGCAGAGGCAGACAGATCTTCTGAGCCCAGGAGGTCGAGGCTGCGGCGAGCTGTGATCGTGCTACTGTACTGCAGCCTGGGCAATAGAGTGAGACTCCAACTAAAAAAAATAAATTAAAAAATAAATTAAAATGTCAAAAAAGTGGAGACGGTGGTGTCCAGTACCCAATGTCTCTGGATGTATATGCGTGTCTTCCTTTGGAAAACACTCTGAATGATCTTTTCTTTTTTTTTTCTTTGAGTTGGAGTCTCACCCTGTTGCCCAGGCTGGAGTGCAGTGGCACACTCACAGCCACCCCAGTGTTGACCTGCTGGGCTCCGGCGATCCTTCCGCCTCAACTTTCCAAGTAGCCAGGATTACAGGCGCGTGCTACCGTGCCCAGCTAATTTTTTGATTTATTGTAGAGACGAGGTCTCGTCAAGTTGCCCGGGCTGGTCTTGAACCCGCGGGCTCAGGCAGTCCACTTGCCTCGGCCTCCCAAAGTGCTGGGAATACAGGCGGAGCCACCGATCCCAGCCTGAGTGATCTTTTCTGTAAAGCTCTCTCCTTTTCTCAACAGGGTTATTCCGAGTCACCAGACCTTGAGTTCGAATATGCGGACACAGACAAGTGGGCTGCAGAGCTCTCAGGTACAGCACAGACCTTCATGTTATTTAGGGGGATGGTTTTGCCTCATTAGTCTTTAAGAAAATTTAGAATGAATATCATTTTTGAGTTCATTTTTTTCCTTAGCCAATTCTGTCAGCGATATATTAAAAAACATGTTAGTAGTTGATTTAAGCCTTGTATATCTCATAATTGTGGGTTGTCCTTTACTTTTTTTTTTGAATTGGAGTCTCACTCCATCGCCCAGACTGGGGTGCAGTGGCCGTTCCCGGCTACCGCAGCCTCGACCTGCTGGGCTCCGGCGATCCTTCTGCCTCAGCCTTCTAAGTAGCTGGAACTACAGGCACGTGCTACCATGCCTGGCTAATTTTTTGATTTGTTGTAGAGATGAGGTCTCGCCAAGTTGCCCAGGCAGGTCTCGAACCCGTGAGCTCAGACAATCCACTCACCTCAGCCTCCTAAAGTGCATGATTACAGGCTGAGCCACCGAGCCCGGCTGTCCTTTACTTTTATGAAGTGTTTCTGTGTGTTCGGTTTAGCTGGCTGGAGCTAAGTCCCACCATGAGGCAGGAGGTGATGTTCTTTGGCCCTCTACTATGGCCCTTACAGTGGTCTCCTGCAGCAGTGGGTAATGAGTGATGCCTGCATCTGTGCAAATCTGTTGCTGCCACTGCCACACACTCATAATGGGAGGTTATCATGAGCTACTCCTCCAGCCTCTGTAGTCCAAGGTCTACTTGCGAGGTAGCAGCCAGTCGAGAAACCTGTGTTTGGGGTAGCAGTCAGCTCTGGCACAGCATGGTGGAATGGGTGCACAAAGACCAGAAGCACCCAGATATGCATTTTGCCGGTGTTCCGGTTATCAGCTGCAAGGCCAGTCAGCACTTTCTCCACTGTGCACATCAGAGCACTGAGACCCCCTTCATAATTAGAGAGCTTAGTCTGGAAGTCACTGTGACGCAGGAACAGAGTGAGGAGAAGAAGCTAACGCCTTGCCTTCTCTGCACGTGTCCTTGGGGTGGAATGCAGACATGGAGTTGATGGTGATGAGACTTTGTTCTTGACAGAGCTTTACAGCTACACAGAAGGACCAGAATTCCTGATGAATCGGAAATGCTTTGAGGAGGACTTCCGGATCCATGGTGAGATGATTTCCCCGCTCCTCAGTTCCTTCTGTCCTGCATCAGAGAGCCGCAGGTTTCTCGTGGCATCGGAGTGACCTAAGTCATCCCAGAGCTGTCTGAGAAACCTGCTGAACCATGATTGTTCAAGAGATATTGACAGTGAGTTTGTGAGCACTTTGGTGGTGGCTTTTCTCAATGTACTAGGGGAAAACAGAACTTCATGTGATTAAAATTGTACCTAAAATACCAGTGTTTCATTTTGAAAATTCAAATTCATAGCGTGCAGAATGAACTCATCCCTAATATAGGTAGTGACTTGTCTTTCTGGTACTGTGACAGTCCTGAATTAGATGGGTTAACACTGGGTCCATTCCATTGTGGGGATTTTTCTGGGCTCAGGTGTAACTGACTTCTTGCCCTGCAGTGACAGACAAGAAGTGGACTGAGCTGGACACAAACCAGCACCGTACCCATGCCATGAGGCTTCTAGATGGCTTGGAAGTCACCGCCAGGGAGAAGAGGCTCAAGGTGGCAAGAGCAATTCTCTACGTTGCCCAAGGTGTGGAGTGGGTGTCCCCAGGGACCCCGGTGCCTTTGTCAGTGCTGTTGCCCCCTGAAGTGTGGACAGGCTCGGCGAGCTGTGCCCTTGTTTGCAGGCACCTTTGGGGAGTGCAGCTCAGAGGCAGAGGTGCAGTCCTGGATGCGCTACAACATCTTCCTGCTGCTGGAGGTGGGCACGTTCAACGCTTTGGTGGAGCTTCTGAACATGGAAATAGAGTGAGCACTTCTTCAGAGGGGCTTCAGCAGGGAAGGGGAGGTAAGGGCAGAAGGGGGCCAGAGGTTGCAGAACTGCCTGGCTCTGAGAGCATTCATGGGGCTGAGGGTCGGGTCCACCTCTGTTCTGACTGCCCGGGTTGAATAATAGGGACGTTGCCATGGCAGGTCCCTGCAACCCCCTAGCACCGGAGCTTTTACACCAGATGGTGCACATCTTGCACAAGCCTGGGGTGTCCCTCAGAAGGTGGCTGTGCATTTTGAGCTCTTTTTTGAACCCACAGACTCTGCTGTGTTTGCTCTGCAGTTTTCACCCTTGACAGGAAGCACAAGCCTGACATGGGCTCAGCCGTCACCTGTGTCACCTGTGTCTGATGGCCAGGCCACCTGCTGCTCTTGTAAGGATGACGCCATCAGTGAGAATAGCTAAGAACATTCACTGAGTGCTTACATGTCCCAGACATTGTTCCAGGGACATAACTTATACTAATCCATGTGAATGACTTAGGTACTATTATCATCCCCATTTTATAGATGAAGACACTGAGGCACAGTTAGAAACAGGATTCAAACCTTGGCAGTTTGGCTCAGGGCCTGAGTTCTTCCCTGTGTTTTCCCGTGGCCTCTTGCACAGCCTAAGCACACATCGCACTGCTGTGCGCCCCCATGGGCAGTATTTGTTCAGGGCATCACTCTTCCTTCTTGGGGGATGGTGCTGACTCTCCAAATCTCCTGCAGCAACAGTGCCGCGTGCAGCAGTGCAGTGAGGAAGCCCGCCATCTCCCTGGCTGACAGCACAGACCTGAGGTGAGGCCAGCAGCCAAGCTGGGCTCCCTGAGCTTCCATCAGAGATGAGATCAGAGCAAGGTGTGGGAGGGCGCCTGGGCTTCCACACACAGGAGGCTGCAGGTGCGGTGGGCTCCACGGGAGCGGTTAGTAGGCAGCGAGGAGCGCCCTCCCCACGTGGAGTTCTGGATTGAGACTCCCAACGGCAGTCCAGGCTCAAGCCACTTAACACAGCCGTAGTCAGGTGGGTCTCTTGCCCACATGGCAGCTGTGACCCCGTTGGGGTGTCTTCTGTTTGGAGGGGACCCATGCTGTGGCCCCTTGGGCTCCCGCCTCGTGTGCAAGCTTAGCCTGTCCACACTGGGCTAGTCCTGCGGAATGGTCACAGCTGCGTAGGAAGTGACAGCAGCTGGCAGGCAACAGGATCTCCTTTCCAGTGTGAGGGTTGAAAGTCTGTCTTTTTTATACATTTGGAAGTTGTTCAGATTGGGTATTTATGGCAGTATTAAAGTCCCTGGATGTCACTTCCTAGCTCCTGGCTTCCACTTTATCATTATAAACCCTGCCTTTGTTCCCACTGGGACTCTGCTCTGCTTGGACCCCCAAGGCTCACTGTCACTTCTGTTTTTGTTTTTGTTGTTGCTGCTGTTCCTTTCCAGGAATCTTAGGGCAGCAAATTCCATTGGCCATTTTTGTTCCTGTTCCTTCAGCATCCATTTATTAAGCACCTGCTTTAAGCAAGCACTTTGTTAGTCACTGGAGATACACAACAGGATAAGATCTGACCCCAGCCAGGGCACTGTGAACAGTGCAGAGAGCTCCAGGAGGGAAAGACAGCTTTCCTTTGCTCTGTGGGGCAGACTCTCCTTTCTTTCCCCAGTTTCTCCACATTGCCACCTGTCCTCCCTCCCCCTGGACCCTCATAGCTAGCGTGTGCACGGGTTTGTGTCAAGTGAGCTGGGAGGTATGGCAGCCAAGGGCGCTCCCTCCATTCCCGTCCTACTCCCGTTATGAGCCGGCTCCTGTCCTCAGGGTCCTGCTCAACATCATGTATTTGATTGTGGAGACTGTGCACCAGGAGTGTGAGGGTGACAAGGCCGAGTGGAGGACCATGCGACACACCTTCAGAGCTGAGCTGGGTAGGCCACGGGGCCCTTTTCTCGAGGCTCTGCCTAGAAGCTGAGGCAGGGGGCTTTGGGGGGGTCCTGTTGCTGCATGAGTCCTCATACCTTCGTGTCACCTCCAGGCTCCCCACTGTACAACAATGAGCCATTTGCCATCATGCTGTTTGGGATGGTGACCAAGTTCTGCAGTAGCCACGCCCCTCACTTCCCCATGAAGAAAGTTCTCTTGCTGCTTTGGAAGACAGTGTTGGTGAGCACCTCCTTGGAGGGACACGTGACTGCTAGGGGACGGCAGGAGAGAGGCTGTCCTGTGTATCCCTTGGAATAGTGAATTTTGTGAATTTATAACCACTTTGGTCAAAAAATAAGCAAAGATTAAAAATCTCTCCTGAAAGGAGATGGCAGAGAAGTGCCATTGTTGGTCTACTTCTGCCCAAGAGGACTTGACCGTTGAGTCAGAGTGGACTGCTGGTCCCTGGCCCTGGAAACTGCTTCTCAGTCCTAGAAGAGCTCTTCCCAGTGAGCTGCCTCTCACCATGCAGCTCCTGACCCTGAAAGTGCACAGCGATTTGAGACGAGGTTAGAGTTGGTGTTGTTGGATCCCTGGTCAGGTGAAGGAAGGAGGAGTGTGCCCTGAGCGCGCCTTCGTATTCCTCAGGGCAGTGCAAAACCTGGCCCATTTCTAGCTTAGGAGAGACCGGGTGCCAGGCCAGGCCGGCCAGCACGCTGGGCTTGGGGCACTGTCGGGAGCCCTTTCCCCAGGAGGCGCAGCCTGGGGAGAAAGCGGAGCTGGAGTCTGGCCTGCTGCTGTCCCAGGGGCTCCCCCTCCGTTTCAAAATGGGGCGACTGTGGAGCCAGGGGCCGGTATGTTCAGGGCCTTTTAAGAGTCATCTACATGGCTTATCTCAGCCAGACATCCTGCTGGTTCCTCACAACACCCGCTAAACCCAGAGAGGAAAACTGAATTGCGCAGAAGCAGCGAAACTAAGCAACCTAAAACTGCGTGCCATGATGGGGTGTTGGTATCTGGGGGGATGTTTAGATGAAGGTTTTTTTTTTTCTTCTTCCTTTAAATTTGAGCAACCAATAGTACATTTCCAATTTTATTTTGGAAGGCGTGTTTTTACAATTTTTGAAGCATATGAGCCTCCCCAGCTTTTCTAGGAACCTGAAGGGCTAGGCTGTTGAGTCTGCCTTTTTTTAGAATTGGAGCATATGATCATCTGTGCCGCGTTAGGAGTGTCTGCATGGGCTCTGCTTCTCCCCTGCTCCTTTTGCTTCTCTCCCTTGCCTGCGTCACTGGATTCTCCCTTGGGCTGGCTTCGGTTCCTTGCTCAGAGGTTGTATGGGTCTCTAATGATGTGAGCCGTGGTGTTGTGGTGCTTTTGAGCCTGTCTGTCACCAGGGGCCAGACTTTGGCACATTGATGTGGCCGCGCCCCTGTTCTATGCAGTGCACGCTGGGTGGCTTTGAGGAGCTACAGGGCATGAAGGCTGAGAAGCGCAGCATCCTGGGCCTCCCCCCGCTGCCTGAGGACAGCATCAAGGTCATCCGCAACATGAGGGCCGCCTCTCCACCAGCATCCGCCTCGGACTTGATTGAGCAACAGCAGAAACGGGGCCGCCGGGAGCACAAGGTGAACACAACGGAGTCCCTGTGGCTCCCGAGGGCCCTCAGAGGTGCATGGTCCCTAGAGGAGTGGGGCTGCTGAAAGTTGTCTCTGACCAGCTAGTCAGAATGGATGCCTCCACGGCAGGGACACCATGTCCCAAGCCCTGGGCCTAGTTATGGTGGGTGCTTAGGTTGCCTTGCTTTTAAGGAACTGGAGCAAGGAGTGATATGTCATTTGGTTCCAGCCTTTACTCTCTGTCTGGCTTCTCCACTGTTCTTGCTCCCTGCCAAGTGCCATCCTTGCTGTGTCCACTCCAGCCGCACTTCCCTTTTCTGTTTTGTCAGTTGCCTCCTGTTATCTTCCCTCCCATCCCTGTTTCCAGGCTCTGATAAAGCAGGATAACTTAGATGCCTTTAATGAGCGGGATCCCTACAAGGCTGATGATTCTCGAGAGGAGGAGGAAGAGAATGATGATGACAACAGTCTGGAGGGGGAGACGTTTCCCCTTGAGCGGGACGAGGTGATGCCTCCCCCTTTACAGCATCCCCAGACAGACAGGCTTACCTGCCCAAAGGGGCTCCCGTGGGCTCCCAAGGTCAGGTGAGTCTCAGACCTCCAGAACACTCCTCAGACACTCTATAACACTCCTAGCTCCTGAAGCCAGCACCCTCAGGCCCAGGCCTGGCACCTGGGCTGAGTCACCACGTGAGGTCCTCTGCAGGGCCGGGCTCTGGGTTGTGGCTCTCTTAAAGTGTCCTGTGCTGGTGTGGAGGCCTCAGGGAGGCTGCCTTGCTGGTCTCACACAAAGTGGCCTTCATATGGCTCCTGAGTCACTAATTTGAGTTAGTTTTTGGATAGACATGCCAGTGAAAGGGGATAGGAAAAAAATATTCAAAGAATATTTAAGCCAACACATTTACACCCCTTGTGGGGTTGTATATGAGTTTCTTTGGGACTGTAATTAAGACATTTGAGATATGTGTGGGTGAAGCTATGCATGGGAAGGTACCTGGAGATGCATAAACTGTATAGGCAGAACTTAGGACATAGAAGAACACGTAAAGCTTCAGTTTTCAGTGACCTGTGTTGGTAACACAGGTCATTGGAAAATGCAAGGTGTGCCACATTTTTGATTGTTTGGGACCAGAAAATGTGACTCATATGAAAATCAGTAGCTTATGACTTTCATTGTTTAAAAATTTTAAATATTTAAGGAAGTCTGTTGACAGACTTGTTATTACTGTCTGAATAAAGTGTTTTTAAATGTGATGTTTCACCCTAATTTTATGAGTAAATGAGTTACACAGAACATATTTAGGGTTACTGATCCAATAAAATTCCAAGGAACATTAAAATATTCTGTACATTTCCATTTTTTTTCTTTTTTTAGAGAGAGAAATAATTGTAGGGGACTTTTTCTTCTCCTGACTTCACGGTTTTATGTTTCTGTGAATGCTGACACCTTGAAATAGCATTTGATAGAAACCTTTCTCTTGCTCTCTTCTTTTGGCAGAGAGAAAGACATTGAGATGTTCCTCGAGTCCAGCCGCAGCAAATTCATAGGCTACACTCTAGGCAGGTAAGTGGGATCCAGTTCGTTCTGGTGTTCACTCTCCTGGTGTTTGGGGTCCCAGGTGAATTGCTGTCTAGGCTCAACACAGGGCCTTCTTTATTCTCCAGTGACACAAACACAGTGGTGGGGCTGCCCAGGCCGATCCACGAAAGCATCAAGACTCTGAAACAGGTAAGTGACTTCAGGTGAGCGTTTGGCCCAGTTTGGTTCCTAGTGAGTAAAGTGGGGTCGGCTCGTAGGCAGAAGCCTTTGAAGACTGTCAGCTGCCTCAGGAAACTGGGGTGGGGGTGTGGGTGGGCTGGGGAGTTCCCTTGAAAACTGTTCTTTATGAGTTTTACTCATTTCAGCTAACTTTTGTTTGGGCCTGACTGGGGGATTGTTAGAGATTATATCTCCTGACAGTTTTTGGAATTTTAAGGAGCCCAATAGCAACCCTCCCTTTTCCTTGCCCAGTTCTAGGGCAGTTGAAATAGAGGAGTGGGCAGATAGGGATGGCATTGCCAGCTTCACAGCTCTTGGAGTGATGGGGAATACGGCTTAAGAACACAGCAGTCGCGCTCTAATTCCATAACTTTGGCATTAGGCAGACTTACCTACCCAGTCCCAGGCAGGGCAGGGACTGTCCCGTACTCTCAGATCAGAGAGGGGATGGTGTGGTGTGGGGAGAGGAGATGGGGCAGCAAGAGAGCAGGAGCATTGGGCAAATGCCCGTCACTGGAGGGACTCACTGGAGGGACCGTCAGAAGTGCAGAAGAGGCGTCTCCCCTCACAGCACATCTGGAGTGAAACTTGATAGGGTTCACTATCAGGTGAAATACACTTTTGAAATTTATAATACCAAGTGGTCTCGGTGCATTAGGTGTTTTGTGTACTTGGTCTTGTCTTTAGTAGTCTTTCTCTGTCACTGAGACCATCTGAAAGGCCCTTTCCCTCCCTTTGTTTGCTCTTTTCTGATCTACCCTGGGCTTTTTTACCTGGGTTGTAAGAGGTATGGGGTTTGGGACTTCAGTGAGAGGTCTTTGTGGTGACGTGACCCTCTTTCCGAACACTGAAGAAAAATGTTCAGGGTCTTTGCTGGGTTGGGGAGTTTGGCAGAGAAGGAGGAGCCTTCCCAGCACCTCCTTTCTTGTGTCTCTCCAGCATAAGTACACATCGATCGCTGAGGTCCAGGCACAGATGGAGGAGGAGTACCTCCGCTCACCTCTCTCAGGGGTGAGTTGGCCCTCAACCCGCAGCGTTCCCAGCAACTCTCAGGCAGTGTTCTGGGCCTAGAGGACTAGGCTCTCTAGACCACCCAGATCCTGTCCTCAAGAGCTCCAGTCCTGGTCCCATGGTCCTATGCAGAGGCTGACCCTGTCTACTGCGGAGCTGAGAGCGTCAACTCTGAGCTCCACCACATTGTGGGTGGGGACTTAGAGGCAAGTTACTAGATTTCCCCCCCAGGCTTTGCTTCCTCACCTGTAAGATGGGAATCAAAGCCTTCATTGGGTTGTAACAAGGACAAATGGGTAATTAATTACAAGTGAAAAGCCTGGACGTTGTGTGTGTTCAGGGCTTGCCCTCCCGGTCATCAGTGTCATTATTTATGGTGATGCTTACTCATTGTCACCAGCCAGCCAGCATGCTGGCGCCGGAGATCCTAGTACGGACTGGAGTTTTATGTTTGCACCCATTATGTTAAAAGGGAGAGGAGGAAGTTGAGCAAGTCCCTGCAGAAACCCTCTACCAAGGCTTACTCCCCAGCCTGCCTCAGTACATGGTGAGTAGTACCTGTGGTGGGTCTGCCCACTACATCGGCCTGGTGAACAGGCTCTGCTAGTCTCCCTCGCCCTCCTCCTGCCACCCGAGAACCCACAGAAGGCTTACCTCTTGGGGCGCTCAGCACCGCCCTGGGCTCTCTCAGGCCTGTTTCTGAACGTCTGCTCTTCCCAGATTGCCCTCCTAAAGATCCTGCTGGCTGCAGCTCCCACCTCAAAAGCCAAAACAGACTCAATCAACATCCTAGCAGACGTCCTGCCCGAGGAGATGCCGTGAGTGTCCTCCTGTGAAAGGAGCAGGTTGGGGCAGAGGGTGGAGTGGGAGGGGCAAGCGTTTTCTTTTTGTTAGGTTGATTTCTTTTGTTGGCCTCACTTCTCTGCAGGTTAAATTTGGGGTGTTTTTGACTCAGAAAAAGGAAACTACTGGATTAATTAGTCTCCTGGCTGGGAGATGATTTGGTTCAGTTGGTCTGAATTCTAGTGGAGACTGCCATTGAGTGAACTCCTGGGTGAATGGGGCAAAGTCATTTCCTCCTCTAAAACAAGTGGTACCACATCAGAACATTTCCCAGTATCCTCCCCATAAAGCTGTGTGGTTGGGACACCCAGGAAGTAGAGTGTTACCTTCTGGACAGTTGACCAGTGACAGCTGAGCCTGAGCCAGATGTGCTGTCTTTTCTGTTTGCCAGTGAGCTGGCAGGCTGACTACTGGTGAGCATCTTGGGGTGACAGAGTGAAGTCCTAGGGCCTCTTCCTCCCTGGGCCCTGACCTCATCTCTTTGATGTGAGAATACAAATGAAGATTGTGTTCTACTTTGAGAAGGACTCTGATCTGCCTGCCTGCCAGTGCCACCCAGCCTTTGGCCCAGCTCATGGGTGGCTGTGGCCCTGGAGTGTGGCAGTGACAGCCAGGTGAGGGAAGAGACAGGGAGTGGCTAATCCCAAAGTGGGGAGGTCACAGAACAGTAGGCCATCATGATGGTCCTTGGAAAAAAGGTGCTAGGGTCACATATTAGATTTCCTCTTATTAGGATTTACAATGAGAAGTCCTGAATGAAGAAACGGATGTAACTTAGTGTTTCCTAAATTTGTCTGACTCCAAAATCCTTTCTCCCATAACTTGAAACATCCACAGAATACACGTTGGGGAACTCGAGTTATATGGTGGCAGAAGCTTGAGGGGGGTCTTGGAAAGGAAAAGTTTATTTTTGAAGGAAAAGCTGGGAAACAGACTAAAAATGTATTTGGGGTATCATGGGGAAGAAATAAATCGTGCCAGGCTGGATTGCTTGGGGGTGGGTGGGGAGAGCCCTGGCCTGACCTCAGATGGCCACGGGGTAGGTGGTAAGGTGGGAGCCTGCACCTGCAGAGGCTCAAGGTCCTGCGCTGCTGGAGCGCGTGCCTGCAGTCACCCCAACAATTATGTTTCCAGCACCACAGTGTTGCAGAGCATGAAGCTGGGCGTGGATGTGAACCGTCACAAAGAGGTCATTGTTAAGGCAATTTCTGCTGTCCTGCTGCTGCTGCTCAAGCACTTTAAGTTGAACCATGTCTACCAGGTACCTGCAGGGCTTCCCTATCTTCTGGGCAGGGGCTTTGGGCAGCTGCGCCTCCAATCTGTGGGAGCGGGGCCTTGGCCTCTGACCCTGCCTAAGCTGTGCTTGAGCGTTCCAAGATACAGTCCCCCACAAAGCCTTTCACCATCGGAGAGAGGAGGGCAGCCCCCACGGGCCTTACTCTCTTCTGTTGTTGCAGTTTGAATACATGGCCCAGCACCTGGTGTTTGCCAACTGCATCCCTTTGATACTGAAGTTCTTCAACCAGAACATCATGTCCTACATCACCGCCAAGAACAGGTACGGAGGACTGGGGACCCGGGTGGGGCGGGCATGGCTCCCGCTGAGTCCCTCTAGCGCACATTTTCTCAGCACCTATGAGCCAGTACTGTGCCAGGCGTCAGGACACAAAGATGAACGAGGCATGGTCCCT